GCACGTAAATGTGATATCCTTTTCCACAACATCAGAGATCAAAGGATTAAGGGGTTGCCTCACTGCTTTTCTTCCATCTTCCATCGAGGTCCATCCAATTCCCTTCTTATGTTTCTTCAAAACCTGCAAAAGTTTATTATCTTGATCAAAATCAAGGTTAGAAGAAATTATAACAAGTAACTTTTCATTCCTCTCTAAATATGCATATTTTAGATTGTCCAGAAGTGGTTTAAGCTCTAAGGAAGGAGGTTGTTCAATGGAAGGTATGGTCGAGGCAACCGGGATATCAAGAGTTTCAGCTGCATAAACGACATCATGAAAAGCATCACCCTGCAAGGCAGCATTAATCTCAGCACAAACAGAGCAAACATTAGTTTTAGTACATAAATCGCAAGAGTAAGTATCATCATAATCTAATAAGGATGGAAAATCACATAACAACTCAGGATAAGTATCATCAACTAAATCAAATAGTGACTCTTTTGGATTCACTACTGTTTGGGCAAGTAATTGGTTTGATTCTTGATCTTGCTGCATGACATTCACTATAGTGACAAGCTGTCCAATCTATGTCTGCAAAGCCTGAATACTGGAATCTGTTCGTTACTGAAATTGGAGATCATTTATAACAATTTGCTTGACAAGGTCCTCTAGTGAAGGTTCATAAGGTGTAGAGCACACAATTTGGAATTCCTTCATATGCTTATTCGGATCCTCACATGCTAGTCCATTAAGCCTTGACAACAAGTGTATTAAACCAGATTTCAATTCGAAAGGAACATCAACATTAGTATATTCAATACTTAAACCATTATAATAAAAATCAGGAGCATCAAGCTCTTTTAATGTTCTTTGTTCAACCATGTTATTAAAAAAAAGAAAAAAATTAATAAAGAATGAGAAAGCACAAAACTAATTCAGCAATTCAACAAATGCAGAAATACCAATAATGCCTCTATTGAGAAAAGGTGTGGAAAAATAGGAAAACGGTTAAAATAAAATCTAAAAAATTATAAAAATATGACTAAAAATCAAGTCAAATCAGAATAAATCTGTACAAAAAATTTCGAATTTTTTTGAAAATGTGAAAATATAAATAAAATAGAAAAATAAGGAATTTGCGATTTTCAGGGTCAAAATCTTTTACAATTTTATTCTAAATGAGTATTGTTTGTCAATTTTTTTTGGATTTTCAGAAGAAAAAAAATTCGGAGCAAATCGAAACAGTAGCTTCCAACTTACCTGATAGGCTTAAATGCTTACCCCTATTCTGCAACTCTGAAAATTAACACACAAAAACAAAAAACAAAAAACTCTAACAAAACTCTAAAATTAAAATTTCAAAATTGGCTAAAATTAACAAGAATCATCGACAACGTCGCCAATTTGATATGTTGTCACGCATGAATAAAAAACGAGTAATTTTAAAAAAATAATTAGCGGTAACGACAACTCGAGTATCGTTCTCACAAAGATTCTTGTATTATTTCAACCGACTAAAGAAAAGGTTTATGGGGTTTTAAGTTTTGATTTATAAAATAAGAGAAAAAGTGATTAAAATAAGTGATTATAAAAATAAGGTAAAACGGCTAATCCTATTGATTCGAATTTCGACTTATCATCAGCTATTATAATACCAATCTCTAAGAGGCTTCGATCCTATTCGATTACGAGATCAATAGACAAACGCTTATCAAAATCAAATGAATTATGTTCTTGCTTACCGAATTAAGCAAACGGTTAAGAATATGACGAGTTAACGAATTAAGCAAACGGTTAAGAATATGACGAGTTACCGAATTAAGCAAACGATAACACGCAATTAAATTTAGGAACATGCAAAGCGATGGAACCCGTAAGCAGCAGGATTTGCCTTGGAAATTAATTCCCCATGAAAGTCGTACAAAAACAAAAGTAAAACTATTGAAAAGAAGGTTAAGTGACAGTAGTACGGCTGCTAGGTATAAGAAAACATCAACACTGCTGGTTTTAACCCAACTGGGTCGAAAAACATAAAACAAAAACCGGCCCAAAACTAAATATTTCAAACGACAGATTTCGGGTCCTGACTTCAACGAATTATTTGGACCTGCTACACTCCAAATCATCTTCTGCCTCAAACATAAAAGTTGTAGATCTCTATCTTAGCTTTCCAACGCCTATTAGAACGCGCAAATCCGATTCTTGCAACTCCAATTATGATTCATACAGTGGACAAATATCAAATAATCGTTAAAGCTGAAAATAAGCTGCAAAAATAAAATAAAGGTAAAAACATACTTAAATATGAAAATACATTAAAATAGTAAGAACACTCAAATAATTTATAAAAATACCTAAATATAACCATGAAAGAATGTGTATAAAAATGTACTGATTAATTTTATATAACCAATATATAAATATTAATGTCATAAAAAAATGGTGATTTTTTAATGAGACGTAGATTTTTTTGGATTTATTTTACCTGGGTGAAAACAAAATATATTTTTTACTTGGGTGAAAATCTAGAATCACATGATTTCGTGATTAAAAACAATGTGTGTAGGTTACTTTTCTAGTTTATATAAAAGATTACAAGAGTAGCATAATATTCTTCTTTCAAATTATTATTATTATTGATATTTTATTCAGTTCTATTCACATGTGAAAAGGTAGAGTAAAAGGAAAGAGAATCTTAAAAACTGTATGGGTGGTAAAACCGGATGGATTCTATCGCAGTTGGAACAGAGTAGACTATAAAAAACTGTTTTATTGGGTATATTGAGATGGTAATTTATTTACAATAGTGTTGTGTGCGGTAAATGTCCAACTGTATTATCGTTGTTGTTACTGGATGTTCATTTTTTCTCAGATTTAATATTTTTGTTACAGATTGTGATATAAGTGCCAACCTAGCTCAGTGAGTATTTAAGCCTTGTTGAGTTTCACTTTTATTTTTAGGGAATTAAGTACATTCACGATAGTTATTCTCCTTCAGCTTCTTGTGAGTTTCTTTAAATATTTACAATGCTAGTAGTCAAAGTTTTCATTGCTCTTTTGACAAAAGCAATAAGACAAATTGTAATGGATTATTTTTACACTCATTGTTTGATCTCAATGATCTCTTGATGAAGATGAAACTATGGTGAGGAAGAATATAGAGTGGGAAAAAAATACTGAGTGATGCAAGATCTTCTTGCTATCATGTGCATGTCTTTATATATACATTAGGTAGATGCTTCCACAATGTTAGTTACAATCTCATCCTCGTGTAACTAACTTTAGCTAGTTTAATTAAGTTACCTACTTGTTTACTGTGGTTTTTGATAAATTAATCGTTACAAGATTAAATTCAAAAAAAATCTTATGACATATTGTGCAAAAATATTATGAATATTTGATGTTTGTGCAAAAATAGTTAGAAAAAAATTGGAATGTGTTCTGTAATGTTTCGGAATGAAGGTGTCATGAACATACACACAGAAACCATTAAAATTCTTCCCAACAACAAAGTAAGAAAGTAGTGATAATAATCAATGTAAATATCAACCTATTTCATATTTTATCGTTTTCTTGAGAGTGAGAGAGTAATAATTTTCTTTTGTATTTTATTTATTTTGTTACTACTATTACTTTTTTAGTTTTTGTAATTTTTTTTGTATTTAAAATCTTAATTTTCTTTTTGTTTATATTTATTTTTGAATGATGATTATTCAACATGGCACAAACTTATTTTGTATGCAATTACTAAAAAATCTAGCCTATTCTATGAATGCATATTACATATTTTATCTTTAAAATAAATAAAATTAAGCAAAAAAAAATAGTGACATATTTTCATCTGCATGTACATTAAAAAAAACATATTTATGAATACGAGAGTGTGTTTTTAAATTATAACAATTCTCATTTAACCGTAAATGAGAGAAATTTTGATTATAATTTTATTGTTAACCTTCATATTACATAACACATAACGATCTCTTAAAAAATATATAAAAAATAATAATTGATGTTAGTGTTTATTTATTTAGTAAATTGACATATACACTTTTGAATTGGATTGTTTAATGTTTAATTATACAAGTTATTTATATTAAAATTAAAATTACGTAAAAGAAAACTATTAATATTTTTACGCATTAGCACACTACCAAAATGGACAAATAGAGTGTGCAAAGTCAATTTAACAAAATAGTTAAGCCAAAACAATAAACAAACAAAATTGTAAACTATATCATTTCAGTTATACTACCTCAGATTTATAGTAACATGTGAGTGAATGCATGACAACAATATGTGCACACTTCCAAAACATGGTTCACATGAATGGAATCTTAATAACATAACAAAGCATTGTCGTACGTCAATTTATTCCCATGTCCTTAAAATGTAAGTTGATGTATAGCACTCGATCCAAAATGCGACACATCATGCATTTTCTTAAATAAAATAGAGGACTTGTTTTAGGTTTTAGTCTTGGGTCAGTCTATAAATTCAGTGTGTTTAGGTTTTAGAGGACTTATTTTATGTATTATATTTAATATATGAATTGTTATTTTAATTTTTAATATTTTCAAAACCTTTGAAATTATTCTTCTTAGCACAACCAACAAGTTATTAGTGTGGGTTTAGATTGACGGTAGACAAAATTGATCTTGACATAATGAAATTTGATAGAATTAATTTTAATAAAATTGAGTTTAATAAAATTGATTTATGTTTAAATATATTTATACAAAAGCAAGTTGAATAATAAATTTCAGTGAAAAAACCACGTTTAAACTCAGAAGTTATCAATTATAGCTTCAGGTAGAATTAATTATGGAAGCAAAATCAATTCTACCATAGAAAAATCAAACACCTCACAATCACTTTAAAATCAATTTTATATTTTAAGAATTTTTTTCCTCTTTCAAAAGTTCAACCAACCATGCTATTAATATTTATTTAAAAAAAGACTCACTCACCATGTGGTGGAGGAGCATTTGGATCGAGCCTTAGCAACGTTGGACTGGATGGGTTTGTTTTCTAACGTTAAACTTGTCAATCTTATAGCTTCTCATTTGGATCTTATCCCTATTTTACTACACTATGAACCTGGGCAATAAAAGCGGAGAAATTACGTGTTCAGATTTGAGAATTGCTGGTTGAAAGAAGAAGACATTGAGGATGTTGTTCAAAACGGGTGGAAGCATGGGGAGAGCCACAATGTCATGCAACGTATTGGTTCATGTACGGAAGAACTGGAAAATTGGAATAGAGTGAGATATAGTAGGAAGAAGGACGAGCTAAAGAGACATAAGGAAATTGTGGAAAGGTATCGTAGGAACCATGATTTGGAGTCTATGTCCCGATTTCTCGAAGCACAAAAGGAGTATAATAAGATGTTTGTTGGGGAAGATACTTATTGGAAACAAAGAGATAAGATGCATTGGTTACAGGTCGATGACCTCAATATGAAGTTATTTCATTTAACCGCTATGACTAGAAAGAACTTCCAAAAGATCGACATGAAAGAACTTCGGAATGTGTGACATTGCGAAAAGTTGTTTCGAAGATTTATTTGCATCCAAAAGTAGTTAGTATGATCATGTGCTTAACCTTATTCAACCTAGAACTCTTTTGAAGATAATAACATATTGATGGTGCCTAAGGTTAAGGAAGACTTCATGCAACTTTACTTGATATGTACCATAATAAATCGCCGGGCCCGAATGTTTTTAATTCAGCTTTCTATCAAAATTTCTAGGATTTGTGTGGTAATGATATTTTGGAGGCTGCTACGGTTTGGTTGGAGAGGGGCTTGTTTCCGGTGTCGCTTAATGATATTGATATTTGTTTGATCCCTAAGTGTATTAATCCCCACGACATGAAGGATTTCCGCCCTATTTCCTTATGCAATGTGGTGTACAAATTAGTGTCTTAAAGTTCTTGCTAATAGATTGAAGATCTTGTTGGATAAATGTGTAGCAGAAGAACAATCAACATTTGTGGAGGGTCGTTCTATCCTTGATAATGTGATGATTTCTTTTGAAGTCATCTACGCCCTTAAGCGAAGGACTAAAGGTAGTAAGGCTCATCATCTTCAAAGTTAGGTATTATGCTAGAAATTCTTTCTTTGATGTTAATATTGGTTATAATCCAAGCTTTGTGTGGAAGAGAATTTGGAAGACGGGGGAAATTTTGTCTTTTGGATGCAGAGGGGTATTGCGGATGGTAGTATCTAGAATATTAAAGGTCCACCTAGAGTCAAACATCTTCTATGGAGAATTAGTAAGGGTTGTTTACCGCATGCTAGACTCTAACAAAATTACGTTCCTTGTCGTCAACTTGTCAGCTTTGTGAGAATAGTCATGAAGATGACTGACATCTGTTCTTTGGATGTAACACAACTACTCAGTGTTGGAGGACAACAGGTTTGTCCACTCTTATAGAGACCCGTTTACATTCTTTTCATGATGCTAAGTCTCTTATCTTTGATATCTGTAATAAGGAGGATAGGAAGCATGCTGTAAGATTTGCAGTTATGATTAATGAGATATGGAAGAATATGAATGATCTTATTTGGTACAATGAGTTTGAGGAAGCCTATAGATTTGGTTGGCTAGCATTTCATAAGTGATAGGAATGGTTTATGGCTCAACAACTTCAAGATATCGAAAAATAACCAACAATATCCTACGACTTGGAATCCGCCAACTATAAGGTGGTTGAAATGCAACGTGGATGCGACGTTTAACAAACACCATGATACTACAAATAGAGGTTAGTGTGTTCGTGATAAGATATATCAAATGAACTAAATTTCATCTCATTTAATAGAATCTATGTTGATATGTATGTTGCATGTGTCCATTAGGTAAAAATTTACTTGTTTTCAAATTCCATCTACTATGCTCAGAATTCCGACCAACATTACATTGCGCACCTAGGCTTACATAAGCTTTCACAATCTATTATGCTTTATTGGAATTTTTTTTTTGTATAAGTCCAAAACTCGCTTTACAAGGGAATTTACATTTTAGGTGATTTCTGGATAAACATTTGGCGAAGGTAGGACCATTTTTTAAAGATTCAAACTTTTGAACAGACACTTTAATAAAAAGAGACAATGACAAAGTTGGCTTCCATATTATTTTAATAATAATACATTCATGTTACCATGGACCATATGCCATTACATTACTGCAACGTAAAAGATAAGAGAGACATTACATTATAGCAACTAGATTAGATATTGATAAATAGAAACTTCCAACAACGAAATATCAATGTTGGATTTATTAAAATATTAATTTTTTTATGCGTTTTATATAGATTTACTCAGTGGCGAAGCCATAAATTTTTTGAAGTTTGGACAAAAATTTAAAGATCTCAAATTTATATTATATATAATATATAAAAAATTATTAATCAAAATAATTTTTTTTTAATTAAATTGATCTCGACAAAATTTTAAAACTAACATAGCCACATCCAATTTGAGATTGATTCTAACATGGAACATCATTTCATGTGATTCATAAAATTAGCAGCAAATTAACAAAACAAAATTTTATTTGCTAACTACTGTTATTATATATTAAATTAAAATAAATAAATTTTTAGTTAACATAAATTAAATCATATAATTTATATAAAGTGAACATAAATTGAAGTATTGGACCTCATGTAACATAAAGTGAAACGAACAATAACAACAATTCAACACCATAATTTATAAACCACAACATGCAACAACAATAATTCAACATCATGAAGTAAAAGAATTGAGGCGAAAATAAACGAAAAATTGATTAAAGCATTTTATCGAATACCTAATATATTTTTTTATATTATTTGAGGATAAAATTTATTCTTTTTTTTCTTCTTATTTACAACACTGTACATATTTTTTAAAATTTTAGTAGTTGTTACTTTTATGTTAATTTTTATTTCTCCTAAGTATTCATTTTGTAGTTTTTGGTTAATTTTATTTCAATTCTTGCATTTTTTGTAGTGTAGTTGAATCTAAATATTATAATATAAAAAAATGAATGTAATGTATGTTTAATTGCATAAAAAAGTTTTAAAAAATCATGTTTTTATTTGTGAAAAATGTTTAATTTATGGTGGTCAAAACTGTCATTATCAACGACAAAGAAACCGCTATTTTATTCAATGTATATTATGACATTTTGTGTGGCAATCAATTTTATTCAAAATTGTCATGTTTTTTTTTTTGCATTTTAGTTAATTGTGACCGTTTAAACGGCCATAATATCACTTTTTAACCGCCACAATTTTCATAATTTTATATAAGAAGGAAAATTTTTGGGTCAGAGCCTGGGCACATGTCCAGCCTAGTCGGGCCTTAAAATCGCCCACGAATTTACTCCGATTTTAATTGAGTTCTTATTTAATAGGTGATGAGATCAATTTTTTGAATTAGTCGGTATTAGAATTGGATATTAAATTTTTAAACTCAATGTTCAGTTATCATTTTTAGGCTTGTTCGATGTGTCCTACACTTAGAGGGAAGATGGAAATTGAATTCATCGATGAATACATTGCTCTTATCACTTATATGTTTGATATGTTGTATCGTGAACGAAAATGATGCAACATGCTAGTGCATTCATGGATTCTCAACATTGCATCCGAATCAATTGCTCAATCCATGTGTTCATGGAAAATGCAATTGATGTATAGAACAATCTCAAGAAATGTTTATCATTATATAATTTGGTGTGTATCTCTAAATTAATGCAAGAAATTTATGGAATAAAACAAGATTCTAAGGCATTTTCTTAATTCTTCCAATCAGGTCCATTCTCAACGCTCACCTCTACATAGCCAGAACGAATACCTTACATTTTCAATTTCCTTTCATAAATGTTAATCCTAAGGTTGAGTGTGATGTATTCCATTTTTGCAAAATAAAGCAAGTTACCATTCCTTAATAGTTTTAATAAAGCTCAAAATTATTTTGGTCTCATTTATCTTGATATATGGAGACCAGTTGCACTTAAATCACAGCATATTTAGACTTATTTCTTAATTGTAGTTGATAATTATAATATACTTACTTGGTTAACCTAAGTATAAAAGCGAGGCTAGGAAAATGTCATAGATTTTATTAAACTAATTTTAACTCAACACAACTGCAGGATTAAAATTGTTAGAACAAATAATGGGTTAAAGTTTCAAATTCCATCATTTTATGCTTTACAAGGGATTATTCAACCAACCAGTTGTGTGGAATCCCCTAAAAAAAATGGTTGAGTTTAGAGGTAGCACCAAAACTTTTTTAATATATCAGGATCAAGATTCCTAGTCATATTCATGAAAACAAACCACCATATTTTATCATGTATAAACAAAATTCAAACCTTGATGAACTTAAAGTTTTTTTTTTGTTATTCATCTTCTTCTACATTACATGCATATAGAATTAAGCCTTCCCCCAGAGCAAGGAAATGTGTTTTTCTTGGTTACAAAGTCGAAATGAAAGGCACAATACTTCTAGATTTCAAAAATATATAAATCTTTGTGTTTAGAAATATAAATCATCAAGATCAAGCTTCTGAAGCAAACTATCCAAACTTATTCTAAAAAATTCAAATCTCATGTACACTACTTAAGTCTATCTTTAAGACTCTGAACTCTGATGAAGCTTTAAATAATCTTTGTTCTGACCTGGGCCTCGGCTTGACCGAGCAGGCCCAACCCAGTAATGTGCAGTAGGCCCAATCTGGCTTGGGCTACTGCCGTCGAACACAAGGTCCCCGTCGGGCAAAGAATACCCTCTGCGGGCTGGACCTTCTCCCCCTGTCGAGCAGGACAAACGTGTCCTTCACGCGTTCTCCACGTGCTTCCCTTCGCGGGGACACGTCACCAACCAACCGCCCACCTCCGAAAGAGCAGGTCAAACCCACTTTCCGGAGACCACAGAACAGTTGAACTAGGGAGAAGACCACGTTCTGGTCTTCACTACGTCACGTAAGCCCTAGCAGTCACTTGGGTTGGGCCTGGCCATCCAGCCCAACTCAAATGACCGTTGGCCCTGCGCTGGGGTCTCTCTATAAATACCCTCTTTCACAAGAGGGTTAGGTATTCTCTTCTTACCCTTTTCTGTACTTGTGATCACTCTGTCCAACTTCTCACTTTGGCATCAGAGTGTCTTGCAGGTACACCCCCCATCTCCTTCTATATACCGTTGAACAGGCATAAATTCAGCAGGGCGTGGCCAGTCAGTGATCCCCTTCTGGTCAGGTCAGATCAATAAAAGTGGAGAATGGACGGGGGCTCGCCTACTTATACCCCAGCACGGGACTCGAAGCGTCAATAGGCACTCAAGTACCCTAGGGTAGCCGCCCTGCCAGCCACCCAGCGCATGACACGTGGCGAAGGCTGACAGTCGCGTCCCTTCACATCTCCCCACCAACACGCGCCTATTATCCCCGGACACCCGATAACGAGGAAGGACTCGCGTACACGCGTCCCCGCTCACCGCAAGCCGAGCGATTCTCTCCTCCCGGGCACAACGTTTTCA